CCCACGGCAATGCATTGCAATTCTACCAACCTGCCCCCCCTCTCCCCCAGATCGATTGTTGCTCACCTTTAGTCACCGGTATGGAGCATGTCAAAGTAGAGCCGAGTAGCCGCCTCGGCGCAGTACTTTGCTCACTGGACCGTGCTTCGCTGTCCTGAAACTCTGCCTGCAAGTCATCCAGCTTGAGAGCTCGCGCGACATTGCCCGAGTAGCCATTGTAGATACCTCGCAGCCTGAGATGATCGTAACGCCGATGCATGGGTAAGCAAGCCTGCCGCAGAGAAAGCGGACAGGCGTCGAGGAGCTTTGAGGGGGGGATGCTGCTTGTGCCCCCTTCTGTTCGCTTGTCAGAGCCCGCAGCTTACTCACAGTTCGAGCATGTAGGTCTGAGCGGGTGGATCGAGTCTCAAATGCTGCAGCTGTGCTTCCGAACTGTACATGGCTGACGTCTCGAAGTGAGGGTGGGATGGGAATATCGATGAGGCGACTCAGATTTATTACTCGCTGATGCGGATGGACCCAGCTGGAATGGAATGGATGGATCAGATCAAATAGCCTCAAGAGACCGCTCAGCCTACATTCGCTCTTTCGCTGCAATGCGCATTGAATACGTGTGAAGGATGGGATGAAATTTGCACCACGTTGGGAGCAAAGCAGAGCATCCGCTCGGGACGATTCGTGATTCGCGATTCTCCACTGAACGGCAAACGTGTTGCTGCTACTGCAGCTTTTTGTTGGGTTCAGTCACATGATCCTTGTCAAACTTCCAAGTGTGAGGATGCGAACTCCGTACAGTCGTGAGTCGTGTTACTCATCAGGGCTCGGTTGGCGTGTGTCGTTGATGCAGACAAGTGGGAGTCGTGAGTGTGTCGAAGCAGACTGACACGCAGACTCACACTCACACTCATCCACCCCATCACTCCAACCTCTTCTCCTTGGCGCGAACCCATGCAAACACCGGCATGGTATAACCAACACAGCAGGGGGAGTTGGCCCGAGCATCGCCCGCCGCCTTGAAGTTGCCGATGCACCCTTTAGCGCCGTTATAGGTCTCCCATGCAGCAGAGTGACCTGCGCACGCACGTCTGCGAAACTACGCTAATCGTGAGTGTGATCGGTAAGAGGGAGTCGGAGTTTGGCTCACCTCGTGCTGTGTGATGGTTGTGTGCTGTGCTGTGCGGCGCGGAGCGTTGGCGAGTCGATGAGGGGGATCCGTGTAAACGAACCTCGAAACCCTCACATTCGTGATTGCGGACGTGTAGCGCTGTGCTGTGCCTCTTTTCGATTCCGTCATGCCAGACTCAGACTCGACGTAACATTCGAACTACGCTACCATGACGTTCTCCAAGTCAGCTCGACCCGCGTCGCGTTGTCGGCACGTCCTGACCTCGACTTGCCCGGGGCTGTCGGGCGTCTTGCTGAGCCGATCCTTGCCTCGCTTTGCCTCGGATGGCAGGTGGGCCGTTCGAGGCACACACGAGACTCGTGACAACAGCTTATCGTACTCGTCTTGCAGCATAGATTGTCTCGAAGTAGCACAGACCCTGCTTCAGCTCAGCTCAGCTCTGCTCGGAGCGAATGAGTCAGCCAAGCAGGTGGTGGGAGAGGCACGGCACAAGTGGGCCACCAAGTGAGCGGAGACAAGCCTGGCGGCGGCTTAAACATATCAACGTTCCAGCAAAAAAAAAGTCGACATCCATTTCTTCACCGTCTCGCCCCCAGTGTTGTAGCACAGACAGCAAAGCTTGAGACTATCATTGTCGATCGAACATCTATCATTAGTCGCTTGCTTCTTCTTCTTCTCGCTCCGCCGCAGAAGGCGTCACTGGCAACTACTACCGCGACCTTTTTGCGATCACCATGGCATTTTTCCGCACGCTGGCCGGCCACCGAGCCGTTTGCGATTTGGCGGATGAGCTTCAAAGATCGCCATTCCAGGCGGAACACCTCGCCTCTCCCGTCTCCGTCTCGCTGCATGCATCGAATGGTCAGAGCGGGCAATGGCAGTCAGAGTGCACCTCGAAGGATCTCTCACTATCGCGTCTCGAGTCCAGTCGAAGCATAGGCGCAGACCTGACTCCGCTCACTTCTCTGCTCTATCAAGGCGCACCGCTACGTCGACGCGTCGAGATGCTTCGAGCTGTCCTAGAGTCGGACGATCTTTTTGGAAGGAATGGCCCCTACAGAAGATCCGAAGGTCCATTTTTGGACAGAGATGAGAGCTACAGAGCAGCTTTGCTCAAGATTCGTAGACTTTGGGAATTGAGAAAGAAGCATGCTTGGAGCGAGGCGGATATGGTGATTGTGCATGAGCTCGTCGATGAGCCTTTGCCTGTGAGTAGTCAAGAGTGCTGCAGACTGTGGTCCTGAGTGGGCGCGAGGCAGGCGAGGCGATGCGATGCGATGCGATCCGTGCTGGCTGCAGACAAATGTGCAGGTTACATGCCCAAGAGGGGTGACCAGAGAAGGGGGGAAAGGTTTTTGCCCACTTGATTAGGCTTTGCGCTAACCCCCGTATCGCAGAGGGGGCAGCGGCTGATGCGACTTTTTGTGTTTGTGCGCCGCAGCTATACATCCACACATGTCTGTTTATTCCAACGCTGCAGCATTCGTGCAACCTTTCGCAAAAGCAACGTTGGCTCCAAGCCGCTCTGGACTGGAGGATCATTGGGTGAGTAGAGAGAGAAAATCTAGGAACGCGCAGGCGCAGGACCGAGAGTGGTCCACCTGACACGATAAATCTGCCCGCTCATTTCCTCGCGCACCTCGACTCGCTCGCTCAATAGCGCTTATGCTCAAACCGAGCTTGGGCACGGAAGCAATGTGCGAGGTGGAATAGAGACTACCGCTACCTACTCCGCCAAGCACGATGGCTTCATTCTGCATACGCCGACAATCACTTCGCGCAAATGGTGGCCAGGTGCGTGCCCTCGATCCCCGTCCTTCAACAGTCAAATCGACTCGCGATGCTGATTTGTGCTCGAGCTGTTCATATTCTGCAGGTGGACTGGCGCAGAGCGTGACCCACGCGCTCGTGTATGCCAGATTGGTGGTTGGGGGAGCAGACTATGGTCCTAGCGCCTTCATGCTGCAGATCCGATCCACGAGAACGGGTCACGACCTTGCTGGGTGAGAAGGCAAGGCACCAGTCCCGTTCAAAAAAGCGCAGAAGCTCTTGTTGACGTTGAGATGTGATGACGCGCAGAATCACTACGGGCAACATCGGACCCAAAGTCGGCTTTCATCCCATCGATAATGGATGGATGACGTTGGACAATGTCGTCGTTCCTCGCGATCACCTGCTCTCTGCTTCCTACGCCGTCCACCAAGCTGGACAACTCAACAAGACTCCCAATGCCAATCCGGTGCTGTCTTACAGGACCATGCTGGGTGCGCGATTCGGAATCATACATCTTGGCGGACGTGTCCTTGGTGAGTTGATTGGATCGATATGTTTGCTTCGATTTTGCTCCACGCTGTCTTGCGCTGCTGCTGCTCACGCTGAGCCCGAGTCCCCTTCGATCTCGCCCATCACAGCCAAGGCCAGCACCATCGGCATCCGCTTTGCAACCTTGCGTCGACAATTCAAACACGTCTCAAAGCCCGTGGAGAATCAAATCATCTCTTGTGAGTCCGCAATAACGAGTGCTGATGCAGGCAGCCGCTTGAATCACGTATCGATTGACCTTTGCTCGCTGCGCCCTACAGATTCCAGTCTACAATGGCGTCTACTTGTGCCTCTCGCGGCAAGCTACGTCTTCCACCTCTCTAGCTTGGATCTGCTCACTTCATTGGTGACGAGCGATTTTGATGATGTCGCCACTTTGAAAGACGCGCACGCCACAGCTTCGGCCCTCAAGGTCTTTGTCACGGGCTTTGCCTCCGCTGGGCTGGAAGAAATGTAAGCAAGCTATACGTGTCGCAAGCCTCGTGAGAAATCGCTACAAGACTGAATCTGCACATCTCCCTTGTAGCCGTCGATCTCTCGGAGGACATGGGTACAGCAAAGCAGCTGGGATTCCAGACCTTTCCGCTTCGTTCTTGCAAGTGAGTGTATAGGTACGCGCGCTGCGCTGCCTCCTTTCGGCGCTCATACTCTTTGAAAATCGAATGGACCGTTCAATTGCAGATGGTCACAGTCGAAGGAGACAACTACATCATCTCCCAACAAGCGAGCAGAAGACTGATGGCTATTCTAGAAGCTGTCATCGAGGGTACTCTGTCCACGTCGCGTCTGCCAGAGCAATACGCCTACCTTGATGGTGCTGCGGCAGCTTCGGTCGTGTCTCAAGAGAATAACATTGGCGTGCATTCAGCAGCAGACTTTGCCTCTCCCGCAATGCAACAACGCTTCTTGGCGTTGGCTGCTCTGAATGCGGCGTTGCAGACGCGCGAAGCTTTGCGTGCTGAACGAGCGAGCGGCAAATCTGCCGAAGAAGCTTGGGACGCTTGTCTCATCTTCTCCGACACTGCCGTCTTGGCCTACGCCATTCTGAGCATCCACAGCAGATTCCAGCGAGTCATGGAGCGTATCCAAATATCGCACGCTCCCACCGGTTCCCTTCCACCAAAAATCGTAGAGCTCCTTGTGGCTTTGCGAGACCTGTTTTTTGTTGCGGTCTGCACTACCGCGCCTAGTCCTCTGTCTGGCATGCCCACACCCTTGATTCTTGCGCTGCAACACCGCGGCAAAAAGACTGACGCTACGCGCTTTGACACGGCAACGACTACCAGAGCGTTGGAGGAGCTCAGAAGAAAGAGGCTGGAATTGCTCGCTCCTCACGCTTTGGCACTGGCCGAAGCTTGGGGCTTTAGTGATTGGGAGCTGGGAGCACCTGTTGCACCGTGAGTAGCCCCACGTCTCGGGATGATGCAAATGCGAGCGAAGTTTTCCGCCGGGATATACTTGCCACATATGCTGTTCTCGACGACTTTAAATTCCGCTGCTCTACATTGCATTACACTAACGCTTATGAATTGCTTTGCTACTCGCCCCTCCTTGCAGGGAGAATGGAGACTTGTACGGCTCACTCGTATCGTGGGCAGCTCGCGATCCCATGAACAGCCGTCACGCTCAGACGAACAGGCGCGCCTGGGTGGACATTCTTGGGCCCCTTGCGAATCACCCGTCGGGACAAGGTCAGGCGCCCAGTCCGATCGCGGGTCGCCCAGAGCGTCGACCTCCAAGCGCTTCCCTTTTGCCCCACAAACTCTGAGCTCGCAGCTCTTGCGTCTCTGTGGTGAATGTTGATGTTATGTCCTTGAATACTTAGAGCGTGATGAATGGTTGCTCGCGTGCCAATGTCACGGTCTGCAGGCCACTCTCAGATTCTGCGTCTCGGTTGCACCTTGGAGTCAACGTAAGGTAGCGTAAAGAGAAAGAATCGACGAATAGCAAAAGCATCACGTTCGCGAGGATGCCAGGTCAGAATCAGAACCTTGAATGGGCAAGGCCAAAGCGTGGACCTGCGTAAACACCTGCAGCAGCATGCAGCATCATCCCACCCGCCTTTCAATCACCACTTCGCGACCCATCATTCATGTTCAAATCCGAATTATTACAGCGTGCAGGGTGAGGAATACAAGCCTGGTCGTGTGCCTCGATCTCTTTTCTGGACTGCGCAAGGAAGGATGAATGCGCGCGGGCACAGGTCTGCTTGAATTCTGCACCACTCTGCTGCACAAATGGGACTGGGTGCTGTGTGACGTTGTTTACCAGCAGCGCAGGTTGCCAGCTGCGAGAAGCCTTGGCACGGAAGCGAGGCGCTCCTGTCTTTTCGGTCTGACGGATGGGCATCCAAGTCGAGCTGGGTAACCTTGCGCGATCATTGGCGCGGAGGACGAACTCAAGTAGCAGTCAGTAGGTCTGAAGCAGGTGGGGCAGTGCTGTCTCTCATCGCGGCGACGTGACAGAACGGGGTAAGCTTCGACCAATCGCAACTCGATTGCGGTAGAGCTACGCATTCACTCAGGGCTAAGCACAGCCTCATGCTCTGAAGTCTGGGTCAATGGACTCCAATGTGTAAATTCTTCTTATCTGTACCAAATATTCGTGCCTCAGCTTTCCTTGTCGACATCATCATCGAGCAGACAAACTCACGAGATCAAAGCACTCACCGCCAATCATGACCTCCCACAAAATCTACCCTGCCGGCTACGCCGCCATCGACCTCAATATTTCGAGCTGCGGAATTTGGGACTTTGTCTTCGCTTCCAAGTTGGCCGCTGCTCGCGATTCGGAAAAGATTGCTCTGGAGCAGGGCAATACTGGCGAGCAAATCAGGTGAGCAGCGGCGACGTTTAAAGTCGCTTCTCACCCGTCAGAGGCGTTGCTGACCGGCAACGGCCGCTGTAAACGGGCCAGCTACGGAACACTGCGTTCGCTGACTCTGCGCGTGGCTTACGCGCTCAGGCAAAGCCTATCGCTGAAGCGCGGCGACACCATTGCGATCTTGTGTCCCAACACGCTGCAATTTGTAGTACTGGCCCTGGGAGCGCAAGCGGCAGGGATCATAGTGACTACTGTGAATGTAGCTTACACGGCCCGTGAGATTGCTCTGCAAATTTCAGACAGCCAGTCCAGCGCTATCTTTGCTGGGCCAGCGCAACTCGCCGCGGCTAAAGAAGCCGCCAAAATTGTGGCTTTGGGAGAGAACAAGGTGTTTATGTTGGATAGCCCTAAAGAGACGAAGCAGTCGCTCGATAGCTTGCTCTCGGAGGATCAACTTGTGCCTGAGCATTTTACCCCCGAACAAGCTCGTTCGGAAACCGCTTTGTGAGCGCCTAGTGTACGGATCGAGACTTGGCGGGCCGTTTGAAGCGGGTGTGAACGGTATTTGACGCTGCTCAAATTTTCTCCTTTCGCTTCCTTGCGTAGCATGTGCTACTCTTCGGGTACCACTGGCAAGGCCAAAGGTGTCCAATCAACACACTTCAATATCAACACAAACACGTTGCAAATTTCGGGCACTGGCGAAGCTTTCGTCTCTAGCGACAATGTCCTAGCATTTCTGCCCATCTTTCACCTATTTGCGCTCACTGCCAACGTTTTGCAAGCTCTTTACCTCGGTTCCAAGCTCGTGCTGCTGCCTCGTTTCGACCCGCAGCTCGTCTTGGACACGATCGCAAGCAAGGAAATCAACGCTGCGTACATTGCACCGCCCGTAGCTATGTTCCTGGCCAAAGATCCTCGCGTCAAGCCGGAGGGTATGAAGTCCCTGAGATGGCTGTTGTCGGGCGCCGCGCCGCTTGGTGGAGAAGTGGCTGCAGCAGTGCAGGAAAGAATCGGTGTGCCCACTTTCCAAGGCTACGGCGTGAGTACGAAACCAATCTTCAATGTCTGGCCGACGCGGTCTATGCGCGCAAGTTGTGGCACTGAGCTGAGCTGCTGCAGTTCTCGTCTTCTCCTACAGCTCACGGAGATGTCGCCAGCCGTTTTCATGTCTGGCCCAGCCAACTCGCGCGAAGGCTCTGTGGGGAAATTGGTGAGTGACTGCGGGTCGGATGCTTGAAAGCTTTGCTCGAAAAGACCTGATCATCCACGTCCTCCGCTGCAGTTGCCAAACCAAGAGGCCAAGCTGGTAGCTCCAGATGGTTCCGACGCTGACCCTAGCGTCGGTGGAGAAGTGTGGCTGCGTGGACCTAACGTGAGTACACTGGACGCTGGAGCCAAACACTATCCTGCTTCGCAACGCTGCTCATCCACTTACCGAAATCCCATCATTGCATGTTGGGTAAACAGACAATGAAGGGCTACTTGAACAGACCAGAAGAGACCGCCAATTGCATCGACGAGGAAGGATGGTTCCACTCTGGCGACGTGGCTACTAGGGACGCAGATGGGTTCTACTACATCGTCGACCGGCTCAAAGATTTACTCAAGTACAATGGCTACCAAGTCTGCCCCAGCGAGCGTGAGTCGTAATCTTGCATCATCAGCAGACATGAATATCGCCAATAGGTCGTATTCACCTCGAGATTGCACTGTATCCGCTCCAACTTGCAGTCGAGGCTGTGCTCATTCTGCACGAGGATGTTAAAGATGCGGCAGTGGTGAGTAGATGCAAGATGACAGCTCTGACAAGCCCGGCTCCCTTCATGCGCTGGGGACCAATCTCTGCGCTTCCAAATATCAGCGTGCTGAGATCTTTTCTGCCCTGTCGCTGCCAAAGATTGGAGTCAAGAAAGATGGCAACGATCTCCCCGCAGCATTTGTGGCTTTGAAAGATGGAGCAGCTAGCAGCAGCAGCAGCAGCAAGACGGAAAGCGAAGTTCTAGCTTCCATAGACGCTTGGTTCACTTCTCAAGTCGCTCCCTTCAAGCGTCTCAGAGCTGGACTGTTTGCAGTCAAGGCCGTGCCAAGAAGTGCCGCGGGCAAGGTGAGGCGATGCGGAGAGACTGCATTGACTCGCTGATGCCGGCCGCATCCTCTACATATGCTGACATCGTTTCAACGACCTAATCCGCAAAGATCTTGCGCAAAGAGCTCGCCATACCTACAGCACCTGCCGCAGTCACGGTTTGAACACGTGATAGAAAAGCGGTCATGAACGCGAAAGCTTTCAAGCCCTTGCCATGCCTGCAGCCGACGTATCAGCTGCTCGGCTGACGCAGCGAACGACGTCATCTACCATCGAACCTCTTGTTTCGCGCCTCGTCGTCGCGCCTGTCTTGTAAGCGACGCATTGTCGCTTTTGAATCATACGCCACGTCTTGACTGCATGCATCCAAACCCCATGACTTGTTTTCCGCGCTTTACGAAGCAAGACCAGAGTCGATTCGGACGGCCTCTCGAATCCTTAATTGACCAGGTGCCGACTCTTCAGACCTGCCAGCTTAATTTGCGAAAGGCATCTTGATACTCTTCACCTTCTTGCGCCTTTACCTCTGTCTCGCTTGACGGCTTGGCAGCCTCGAGCGAAAGGTGTGATTGTGCGGGAAGAGAACTTTAAACAACCTTCCGAGTGCCTCGCAGGTTCCGAACCTCTAGGCACATCTCTACGCCTTGCGCTGACAATCTTGAATCTTGAATCATTGAATCTAATTAGCGACATCACGTGGTACCGCGCTCGCGCTGCTGTTGAATTTGAATATGTGCATGGGCACACGCGATGCTTGATTTAGTTTCAATTTTGAGTGGCACGCACATCAAGGGACAGAAAGAAGAGTTCGTGATTTGAATTTGAGTACCCGCGCCGGCATCGTCGCGCAATTTTGAATCCTCTCGCACGTCAAAGAGAGCGCGGCGAAGTCGACCTCACGTGATGTGTGTGACCCGGTCTTCCGGAAATCCTGATGAGTGTGAGTCTTGACTTGACTTCTGACTCTTGACTGCATGTATGGATTCGACATGAAAGTAGACTCTTGACTCTTGACTCCCTGACTCATGGCTCTTGACTCAAAAACTGAATGACGCTTCCTCTTGACTCGAGTATTCAACCTCAAATTCCAATTTCAAATCAAATATCCAACGTTCACGGATCAAATTCAAATTGTAAACAGTCACATTTTGACCGGCCAGACGGCGGCATCCACGCTCCTACCGTCATCTCAAGGCGAAGCTACAGTGAAATTGATGAAGTCTACATCTCCGAATTCTTGATTCTCTCAAGCCCCGATAGCCGGAGCGTGATCTCACCACGCCGCGTCGCCGCTCTTTGGAGGAAGTCGGATATCATCACACTCAGCGCTCAGACGTCGCAGACAGCATGCCAAAGATTCGCACTTCGCGAACTGCGCCTCCTCCCGAGGGATTCGAGGATATTGAGGATATTCTAGAAGACTACTCGAGAGCGATGCGGGATGCAGAGAATGAAGAGGGAGAGGGAAAGAGGAAGAACGAGGTGTTGTGGGGTATCATGCGGATAAGCCATACGAGGAGCAGATACATCTACGACTTGTACTATGGGAGAGAAGCCATCAGCAAGGAGCTGTACGATTGGCTCGTCAAGCAGGGCTACGCGGACGCCAAGTGAGTGGTACAGTCTTGAGTGTGATGGGTCAGGAGGGACGCGAGATGCGCACCACTACGGATACAGGCTCGAAGTGCAGGACGGAGGTAGAGCTCTCGGGAAGGCTGCAAGACTGATGAAGATGGTGGCATGCTCACCATTCGCGACTCACTCACGACTGTTTGTGACGCAGCTTGATAGCAAAGTGGAAGAGGTCGGGCTACGAGAAGCTGTGCTGCGTGAGGTGTATTCAAGCCATGGTGAGTCGCAAGCGCAGATCTTGTTGCTCGCAACCGTGTCCGAGAGGTGCTCTGGCGCAAACTCAACCGCTACCTCACTCACTCGCATCGCGCACAACTTGCATGTCTGTCATTCACGATTGAAGGACATGAACTACTCCGGCTCCACATGCGTATGCAGAGTTCCGAAATCTCAACTCAGACCCGGCACTGTCGTGGAGTGTCAGAATTGTGGTGAGTAGCAAGGCACGAGTCTCACCAGGCTTCTTTGCGACCTCTGCGCGACAATCATTGTATAGTGGTACGCTCGATCGCATTCCCAAATGAAGGGGCGGAGCATCTTCAGCTGACTACTCGACTCATTCCACCCCTGACTCATACGCACGCAGGCTGCAGAGGGTGCGCTTCGTCAGACTGACGGGCTACGAGAAAGGCAGCTCATGCATGCAGAGGACAAGACTCGCCTTTCGATCATCCTTCGAGTGGCGCACTGCAGCAGCGAGATCGATCAGCTCTAAGCGCGGACACATGTCTTGGTACGTGGATGGAGGCTACGCCCCATATATGCACTCTCGAATGAATCATGTCACCGGCCACTCACATGTGGGAGCATGCAGCGTGTGCAACCGAGGAGGTGTACGGTCTTGCTTAGGCTGGGTCAGCAGCATGCGCAGCATGCACATCGGAAGAAACCCTGTAAATGGTAGCTAGGTGCTGCGAACTGCGCTCGTCTGCTGACAATGTCTCAGCTCAGCTTCAGTCTCGCAGTGCAGCATGGATGCGACGGGATGTGTTTCAGCTGAAACCTTTGCGATGAGGCTCACACGACGGCTGAATACTGCAGGCGCGGGCTCAGTGGGACGCGCGCACACGGACCGTCGCCCGCCGCATCATTACCAGACTGCGAATTCAGCATTCGTTGATTCACGATTGCTATTTTGTCCGTATACGGTACAGGTGAGACGCAAAGCGCAGAACAGATTTCACTCACGACTGTGACTGCGCCTTCAGCATCGAGTGGAAGCCCTGATCTGCTCCTCAGAAGGGTGCATGCAGCACTTACACAGGCACCTTGCTGCTGCATGCCAGCATGCACTCGATTCTTAGAGACCTGCAGTGTGCGCAACAAATGATGGATAGAGACATTCAGAATCCGAACGGCAAAACAAATGTAGTCCCTGCGGATGCTCGAGGCGCAGCAATCTTGAATATGATTCCCGAATCACCATTTGGGCGCGAGGGCAGCATCAAGCACGCGTGCGCATGAAGATGGATCAAGAGGTTCGAATCAAGAAGCAAAATGGCAAGATTTGAGTCAAAGAGTGGAAGCTTGTGGATAATGCACGTTGGATTGGGTGCCACGCGACGCTGCTCCATATCGTCTCCCTTTGCGGCGCTGGCACGGTCAACGCATCGCGCAGCACAGGCTCCAAAACCCGCATGCTGCGACTGATCCGAGGGCTACGCTGTCTCCTTGTTAGCTTTTGACCGGTCACAATCACTCTTTACTTGATCTCCTTGCTCTTCCACTTCAATCCCCCCTCAACCGCTGGACTCTGCGGTGGGCGGCGTCGAGTGCTGTCTCTTGGACGTCTCGACAAGCGCTGCTCGCGCTTGCGGGACTCGACGTCGCTCACGCCATCAAAAAGAAGGCCCGCCGCCACAGGAGCGACATCAACGACTGTGCGAACCGCTATGAGCTTGACGATCTGATCTCCGTAGCCCCTCCGCGCGCACTACTCGACTCGGCCTAGACAGTCCGCAAGCGAGACAAGACGATAATGGATGAAGGCTTTCATTGCAACATTCTGCGCTGTCGCAGGCGTCTTGATGTAGACGGTAAGTGATGCGCCGCTCTTCTCGGAAATGCAAGTGTAGTGCGCAGTCCAGCTTCCCGTTCACCTCGAAGCATTCACTCGCATTGCACGGGTGCAAAGGCAAGGCGGTGGTGACGACATGCAGTCACATCTTCTGCCTCAAGTGTGCCAACGATCTCTTCACCAGTGCGAGGGCCTGCCCAGCTTGCGAAACGCAGCTTACGGAACCGGACGATGTGGTTGTATCGAGCTTGCAGCCTAGTGCAGACTACAGAACGGTGAAGCTCTGGTGATTCGCAGGAGTATGTGGCGAGGGCGCTGACATGAATTCGAACGTTCGGCAGAGCGTCCTAGCAGGTCTCTCCCCGCAGATCATCATGTAGGGGGCAAAGAATACCCAGCCGGGAAAACGTGTGCATGCGCATTGCTGAAGATCTTGTCCGTTGGTCTGCTCACTGAAGGGACATCTGTACCCGAGCAATGAGGTGCGCCTTCATTTTGTCGCCTTTTGCACCCTGTATTTGGATGTCTTAATTCAGATAGCGGTCGCGTCTTTCTGATCAGCTTCTATCAGGTGAAGCAAGTCCTCTCTTCTCCACATGGACTAGCGCACGCCCTACTTAGCCTGCTCGCACGCTCTGCTCATCTCTTGGCTTCCAACAGTACCAGACATCGCAAGAGGTAAGTCGACCAAGCAAATCGACCCAAGGAGGTCTTCATTATACTAATCTGCTGGTCCTCAGGGAGCCTTCCAAGCCTTACTTCTCAAGAATGTCCAAGAGGTACGAGTGAAAGGATTTGCAAAGTCGGCTGTGGAATCTTGACGCGTCCCAGCCTCCGCAGCGCAACGGGGTGCTAGAGAAGCGCATACAAACGTGAGTGGCGATGCGCCCTTGGTCTGCATAGCTTACTGACAGCTATGAGCATTGCTTCGGCAGCGTCATCTCCGAGGGTGCGATTGAGGGCGGGCTCTGTCAAGCTCCGTTCAGACTGGAGGACTGACTGATCAGCACCCCATCGTCGTAGCGAATGCCGAAGTAGCCTTGCTTTCCGATCGACTCTCTCGTAAGCACAGAATGGCACAAGTCTAGAGTTAGTGCCGGGACTTTCTGAGCGTGGAGACATGTCTTCGCTGCTTCTTCCAGGCATGGACGCTGGCGAGTAGAGTTGAGATACAAGGAAGCTGCACCATCTCCGTCGTCGCCGTTGAAATCGATTGCACCCATCCAGACCTCAGCACGGAAAAGCGCAAGACACGGGAGCTCAGCGACTCGCTGCGCACCTCGGCTAAAGACTTTGCACGTCTTAAAGTGGGTAGCGAATGGGCTGCTAATAGCCGCAAGCAAACGACTCAAGTTGTTCGCGTCTGTAGAGCCAGCACGATGCACAGCTTCGTCAAGGTCTGCGGCCCGGCCACAGCCAAGCTGCGAAGCTTCAGGAAGCTGCTGCCGCCGCCGCTGCGGCGAATACTGCTTCAGCAACCACGACTGGCACCGGCAGCAATCAGTCGCACAGCCATACTCCATTCTACGCTGGGCAAGTTGGGGTGAATCGCGCTTGCAAGTGGGTGCGCCTTTTGACTGGAAATTGAAAGCTTTGCGCACCCGTTTCAAACCACAGCAGGAGAGTCCAAAGCGCATGTCGCCCAGACAGACAGTGCCTTTTTGGCAGTCGCAAGTAGCTGCAGCTTCGGTGGAAGCAAGAGGCCTAGAGGCAGATGGGCCTCGTCGATCGAACGAGCGACAAGACGCTGCTCAGGCCGTATCTCGACGCACCATCCAGCATCCAGCAGCAATGCATGGTCAAACGCTCCACTCGGTCGCAGGAGCTCGCAACCCGACCCCAAATTCAGCAGGCGCGCTCCACCATTCCCGTTTTCAAGGCAATACGTCGACCACGTCGACCCCGCAACGTGTGCGTCGGATGCGCTTAAGCATGTCGAAGCAGGTCGCCGTGGCGCACATGTGATGTGCTGCTGATCGCCTCATCCTTTCCCAAATAGCACACCAAGATGACGAAGCACGCTTCAGCCGTCAGGGCCATGCCATTACCTCACACACGTCGCCCTCAGCTTCGCGATGAAACGACGAACTCGGGCCGCGATCATGACAGTCAGTGTGGCTTGGAACTTCTCCATTGTGGCTCGATCCCGTCGCTGACACCTCGGAGTGTTGGCTACCACAGATCCTTTCCGCTTCTCAGCCGTCTGAAACAGATATTCCTTGGTCCCCTCTCAAACAGGGCCCGTGTTCGGGCTCGCACACTAAGCAAAGGGCGATGCCCCACCGAGCCTAAGCATTCAGTGTACGCACCACACCTCTGCTCATCCACGGCGAGGGTGACGATGATGAAGATGATCGAGTGACCTCGCACCGGATCGTTTCGTGAAATCACCGTTCGCGGATGATCGGCATTCATGTGAGCAACCCGTAGGTACTTGGCATTCGTGATTACGAAGCGCTCTGTAGCTCTGTCTGAAGATACTATGTGGGGCCGGGCCGGAGATTGTGGCTGCGCTCCTCTGATGTTCATGAAGTATTTCCGCCTCAAGAGGCACGCGTGCACGCGCCATGCATCAGCTGCTGCTGCTGCTGTTTGGGAGATGCGCCCACGATCGAGCGAGACGCGCCCAGAATGACCATCACCGCTCACGACTGAGAAAGCTTCTTTGCGGTCCTTGCCATATCACAACACCTTACCTCTCCGTCTCGCGGGAAGCCGCCAGGGACCGCTCGTTTGAAAAAGAGGTGTGCGTCTCGCTCGCTCTCAGATCACCTAACTCCCCTCCTGTCGCTGGCGGTGTGAGCCTCATCCGCAGTCCATCTCCCTACCCCTGCAACCACCTCCACCTCGGCCCCTTTGCAACATCAGAGAGCCGAAAGGATGTCGGAGAGCCTTGCAAAGCATGAGGATGTCAGAAGAGGCGGGAGGTGCAACATGAGAGGAGAGTGCGGTAAGAAGGGATACTTTTCGCCGAAATTGCCCTGTGCAGTCGAAGAGGTACATGCGGAGGAGGTGAGTGGCGGGGTAAAGGGGCTGGTCGAGGTGCTTAGCAGAGAAGGGAAAGACCCGGGGGAAAAAGGCAGATGGTGGGCTTCTGGTGGATGTAGTGCATCATCGTCTGATCTCGTTCAGCGTGCCTTGCGCTTCCCAACAAACAGCCCGACGAGAAGCTGCGGGCTGAGCTGGTGGATGTGTGCGGACAAGAGTTTGCGGAGGGTAGCGTGTGCTGCACTGCGCCTCAGGTGGAAGCGCTCAAAGCCAACTTGGATCAAGCCGAGCCGCTGCTGCTTTCCTGTCCAGCTTGCCGGAACAATTTCCGCGCTCTCTTCTGCTCCTTCACTTGCTCTGCCGATCAATCGCGATTTGTGGATGTGCTGGAGAGGCAGAGGACGGATGGGGGAAAGGATGGGGATGAAGCTGTCAAGAGGGTGCAATACCATGTGGGCGACGAGTACAGGCAGGGCTTCTACGATAGCTGCAAGAATGTCAAATTTGGAGCCAGCAATGGCTTCGCTATGGACCTCATTGGCGGTGGAGCAAAGGATGCGGACGCGTTCTTGAAGTTCTTGGGAGATGAGAGACCGCTGGTTGGCAGTCCGTTTCAGATCGACTTTCCCAGGCAGCACAAGGAGCAAGCGCAGCTCCTGCCATGTCAGACGCTCGAACGCGATGAAGCTCGAAAGAACGTCTCGACGCTACCGCCCATCCCCTTCAATCCTCCACCCCGCGCATGCTCGGACGAATCGCTCATGTCTCGATGCGCATGCACGGACTGTCCAGCTGTATGCGCTGTTCTACCTCCGGTCGCACCTCCCAGTAGAGGTCAAGATCGATGCACAGTCGGTCACGGCGGGCTGGAATGCTTCTCCCTTATCCTCATCATCCTATACATCCTAGGCACTGTCGCCTTCTTTGTCGGATACGGCACTTCAAGGAGGAGAAGAAAGAGGATAGCCATTCGACATAGGAACAGCGGGCTGAGCATCGCTAGTGACGGCAGCGGCTACGAGAGAGTACGGCTCGATACGGAGGACGACATCGAAGGCGCAAGGAGAGGTCATGGCGTCGACAACTCATCCGGAAGCAGAGCTGCGGACCAGCATCTGCGTTCTGCTGGATTGATCGGCGCCACAGGTCTCGGACACCTTGGCAGCGAAGATGACAGCAGCGCCTCATCCTCCATGGGTGCGGGTGCAGCCTCAGGAGGCATCGATGCGCTCGACGCTACCCAACCACGCTCCTACGCACTCAACGTCCTCCTTACTCGAGTCTTCTACAAGGTAGGCCTCTTCTGCGCTCGATCGCCCTGGCTCACATTCACCGTCGCTGCCATCTTTGTCGGACTGAGCAACCTGGGTTGGCGCAAATTTGAAGTAGAGACGGATCCGGTCAAGCTTTGGGTCGCCCCGCATTCCGAAAGCAGGGCTCGCAAAGAGTACTTTGATGAGCATTTTGGACCATTCTATCGAACTCAACAAGTATTCATGATGGACAAGACGGGCTTGCAGCATGCCAAAGACGGCAGAGCCAAAGCCGGCGGATCGGCTGAAGAGCGCGAGCTGGCTGAGATTCGGCCCGCGCTTAGCTGGAATCGGCTGGTGTGGTGGGCCGATTTCGAAGCTGCTGTGCGCGATCTGCGCACGAGCAACGGGACGACGCTTCAAGATGTCTGCTTCGCACCATCGGGTCATGGCGGACCTTGTGTGACTCAAAGCATCCTCGGCTACTTCCAAGACGATCTGGATGGTGCGGGGGTGGACGAGACAAATTGGGCCGAAAGGCTGGACGATTGCGCTGAAAGTCCGGCGCAGTGCTTGCCCACTTTCCAACAGCCCCTCAAGCCCAACATAATCTTGGGCGGTATACCAAGCGTCGTCCAGGAACCGGTACAGGGCGGGGGTGCGGGAGGAGGCGAAATTCGCGATAGAGAAGGCAGAGGCAGCGATGCTCGATCCGTCGTCACCACTTGGGTCGTCCTCAATTCTCTCGACTCGACCGTCAAGGAACGCGCCGAGGAGTGGGAAGTGGCTCTGGAACAACTCCTCTTCTCCATCGCAGGCATCGGAAATGTACCCGAACATCCTCTCGGTGCACGTCGACGAGCACTTGGCATCGAGCTTGCGCTGAGCACAGGGAGCAGCCTTGAGCAAGAGCTGGGAAGCTCGAGCAACACGGACGTACCCATCGTCGTTCTGTCCTACCTCTTGATGTTTTTGTATGCGGCACTCATGCTCGGAGGAAACACCTCTGCCGGTCTGGCAACGGAACTCAGGGCGGCAAGAGCACAGGATGCGGCTGCTGCGCCGAGCGGCAACTCCCATCGGAGCGGGCTGGCAAGTCGATTGCTCTTTTTCCTTCCCCGAAGAGGCGCCCCTCGTCAAAGACATCGACTGGGCGGCAAATTTGCAAGGCGAATCTTGGTCGAGAGCAAGTTCATGCTTGGACTGTTTGGAATTGTCGTCGTCCTCGCCTCCGTTTCCTCTGCTGTTGCCATCTTCTCGGCAGCTGGTGTCAAGGTGACGCTGATTATTGGCGAGGTCTTGCCGTTCCTGCTGCTGGCTGTAGGGGTGGACAACATCTTTCTCCTCACCAGCGAAATGGATCGTCAGAACGCGCTCGCGAGCACGGCAAATCCTTACTCTTCCGCAAGTATTGGGCGTGTCTCGGATGGGAGCTTCGGCTCGGCGTCGGCTGGAGGAATTCATTTGGAAGAGGATGAAGATGAAGATGAGGACAGCTTTGATGATGAAGGCGCGGGACTGTACGGGGGTCCGCGAGGTCTACCGCACAGACGAGCATATCACCTTTCCTCTGCCGAACGAGCAGCCCGTGCGCTCTCCCGCATGGGGCCGAGCATTCTCCTCAGCGCAGCGACACAAGTGAGCGCTTTCCTCTTGGGAGCAATCGTTCCAATGCCGGCCGTGAGGAACTTCGCCCTGTATGCAGCTGGCAGCATGGCCATTGCTGCTGTCTTGCAGTGCACGGTCTTTGTGGCAGCCATGGCGCTGGATGCGGACCGAACAGAAAGTTCAAGGATCGACTGCTTGCCCTGTCTCAAGATAGCCGTGCCCTCCTCGAGCGCACAGTACGCTTCGCTGGATGGGGTGGGATCGGCTGGGCTGGGTGGCTTCTCGAGTGAAGGCCTTTTAGGCAGGTTCATAAGACGTTACTATGCTCCCAAACTGATCCGTCCAACATCGAAACGCATAGTGCTAGCGCTCTTTGCGGGCTTGGCTGTTGTTGGGATCCTCGGCATGCGCAGGCTCGAGATGGGACTGGATCAGAGACTGGCGCTTCCTGCCAACTCCTACCTGCGCGATTATTTCAATGCGGTAGACACCTACCTCAACGTCGGTCCGCCCGTCTACTTTGTTGCTCGCAAGGTGGACCCTCGCGCGCGCACGGGACAGCAGGCTCTTTGCGGCAGGTTCACCACATGCGCTCCCTTGTCGCTGGCCAATACGCTGGAAGGCGAGCGCGCAAGACCGGAAAGCAGCTTTTTGGCCGAGCCCGCCAGCTCTTGGATCGATGACTTTATGCAGTGGATGAATCCCGTGCTGGAAAGCTGCTGTAGACGTCGCATCAAGGATCCGAACGTCTTTTGCTCGCCTCGCGATAGCGATGGACTGTGCGAACCCTGCTTCAAGGATAGGAGACCGGCTTGGAACATTACGCTCGACGGTATGCCCGAGAGCGACGAGTTTATGCGCTACCTCAGGCAGTGGCTTGTCAGCCCGACGGATGAAGACTGTCCGCTCGGCGGCCAGGCGGCTTACTCCTCTGCTCTGAGCCTTGACCCGCCTGCGGAAGGGACTCCTGGGTCAGTCACAGCTTCGCACTTTCGCACGTATCACACGCCCCTGCGAAGCCAAGCAGACTTTATCGATGCGTTGCGCGCGTCGGAGCGAATTTCGCAGGACATCAACTTGCGCAACGAGCAAGGTGGAGTGGAAGTGTTTGCGTACAGCCTCTTTTACGTCTTTTTCGATCAGTACCTTCACTTGGGCAGTATAGCGCTGCAAGTCTTGGGCGGAGCTGCGCTTTCCATCTTTGGCATCACGACGCTCCTGCTGGGATCGTGGAGGACGGGATGGATCGTGGTGCTTTGCGTGACGTCTGCTCTCATAGGCGTTGCTGGAACCATGGGCTTTTTGGGCATTCAGCTCAACGCCCTCACCCTCGTCAACCTGTCCGTTTGCTCGGCTATATGCGTAGAGTTCTGCAGTCATGTAGCTAGAGCCTTTTCCAGAGCGCCCGGTAACTTGCCCAGAGCACATCCGATGGCTCAGAAGGAGAGAGATGAGAGAGCATGGACCGCTCTGGTCGACGTTGGAAGCTCGGTGAGTTTGTCTCGAAACGGTCCACGCGACGCTCGCGCCACCCCGCTCATCGATTTTCGATTTCCCTTCCCCTTCCCTTTCCCTCCCGCTCCTTTTGCGCTACTCTTCTTGCGCGTCAGGTGATCCGCGGCATTACGGGCACAAAGCTGGTAGGCATCAGCGTGCTGGCTCTGACCAAATCGGACCTGCTCAAGCTGTACTATGCCAAGATGTGGGCCGCTCTTATCGTTCTGGGCGCCACGCACGGACTGATATTGCTGCCCGTCGCGCTTAGCGTATGGGGCGGAGAGGGATACTCGGATGGAGAGTCGGAAGCAGAGATTGCTAGGAGGTTGGCTAGGGCTAGGGAGAATGAGTATCTGCCCTTTGCCGCGCATGACGAAGAGGAGGAGGGGGAAGATGCGGATGCGAATAGCGAGACGAGCGACGGAGCGCAACCTGCACGTCGTCTCTGAACTCTCGGGAGAGCCAAGGACTTGTTCCCTTCGTCGACCACACGCACGCATCCATCACTCTAAGTTTTCACAGCTCATTCTTGTTGCAATATAGTGTACATTGGAAAGGAGTATCCGCCATTCAACTTTGAATGAGGAATGTTGTGCCCGACACACCGACTACAGCGTCCATCGTCCATCGCTCAGGTCCCACTTGACTGTTCCTGGTCCGCTGCTCTTGCGGCTTCAGTGTGCGCGTCCGCAGTGCCTGCTTCACCAGGCGCTGCCGTCGTCGGTGCCGTGGTCGAAGTGGAAGCGGAAGCGGGGGCGGCCGGATCGACATTGAGCATCTTTCTAGCATCGCTGATGACCTTGTCCAAAAATATCAATTCCTCCACCCTGGCCAATTTTTTGGGCTCCTTGCGAAGAGCCATCTTGACGTCTTCCACCTTTAGACGAGCTCGCGCGGCAAAAGGATGAGGCGATGCGAGCGGACCGGCGCGGGCAGAGGTGATGGGTGCGCCTCGCGTTAGATGAGCAAAGAGGTTGAGCGCATGGGAATTCGATGGTGGGAGAGATTGAGATTGAGATGCGCCCGAAGAAGCGTCGAGATTGTTAGGATTTGAGGCGGCGGAGTTAGCTGCTCCTGCGCCCGCACCTGCACCGCCCAAATCCGATGGATCGGAGATGATGCTGGGAAAGACGACCGGCATGGCTCCTCGAGCGACGGAGAATGGTGAGGGTCGAGCACGGTGACATAGATCCGTGATGAAATCTACAAGCAGCTCTTCCATGACCGACACGCTGGACGGATCGGGAAAGGCATTGTCCCCAAACGCATACATCAATCGAGACACTGCGACGAGTGCAGAGAGCGAGAGCGAGGAGGGATTGGAAAGGTGTCATGGACTGACTGGTCAAAGGCGCTGCACGTACTGCTCGAAGCTTGAAGCTTGGCCAACACTCACGGTCTTTGGTGAATACGCCACGATGAGTGTAGGGTCTTCTGCCTCTTCCCATTCCAGCGCCCCCAGCAGCAGCAGCACTGACCGCTTCATCCACCACCTGTCCCGCACCTTCCCTTCTCAGCCCAGCTGTACCATACCGACCCGATTCGGCCCTATTCGACACCGCAGCACCAGCACCAGCACCAGCAGCACCAATAGCATCATTCGCGTCGTTCCCGCCTGGCACAGATGCAGCCCGATCGGCCGTACCAGATGCTCGATTCCTAGCGCTCGAAGCTCCTCTACCTCTTGCTCTGCCCGCACCTCTCCCTCGACCTTCCCCTCTGCCTCTACCTCGTCCTGCTTTACCTGCTCCTCCCCTACCTCTACCTCGTCCACGTTCGTTGGGGTTGCCTTGCTGACCAATACCCTTGGCCTCACCAGTAGCATCCGCTCCACTCAAGCTCCTCTGATCGCCTGCTCCTGCCGCCGTTTCCGCTCCCGCTGACGCTCTTGCTGCACCGCCTCGCCGAGATTTGCCCCTCCCTCTACCTCTTCCGCCTCCTCGAGCGCTCGCGCCTCGACCTGCACTCCCACCTGCACCTCCCATCTCAGCGACGCTCGAATTATCTTGGCCCATCTGTGAGTCTGCGATCTCAACATCCATCGAGCTTTGTCCTGCTACGTCGCGCACATTCCCGTGTGCCTGTGCGTGTGTGAAATGGGGAGTGCTGGGCTCTTCTTGCTTTATGTCAGGCGCGTTCAAGCCGAAGTCTGATGCTTGGGGCTGAGCTTGTGCCTGAGGCGGCGCCGACGAAGTGGAAGAGAGATCCATCACGCCGAATGCTCGGGTGTTTGGAGCTTGTGTGGCCAATGAGGAGATGCCAAGCGTGTTGATTCAGGCGAGAGGGGCAGTGATGGAGGTGATGGAGTGGAACTTGAACTCTGCTCGATCGCTGCGATGAATGCTTTCCTGCCTCTTTTGTCATCGGCCGCGAGGGATTACAGCGGCTGAAACTTGGAGCTGAGGCCTACATGGAGCGCCAAGCAGCGCGGGAGAGTCTGAGTGGCAGTAGGAAGGGTGAGCAAGCAAGCAAGCAGGGCAAGGATCAAGTTTTTGAGTGAAAGTGTGAGTGTGAGTGATGCGAAGTCAACGTCAATAGTCGTTCACGAGTCAGACAACTCGATCGCGACTCTTCGGATGCGTGCATGCAGCTGTGAAGAAGCGCTGTCACGTGGTCCTGACCCTAAACCAATCGGCTGCATCGCCCGTGCGCACCGCACCGCACCGCACCGCACGAGTCAAGAGTGAGTCGCGGGCGTGTGCTGCGTGGAGCGTGCTGCTGCTGCTGGTGGTGGTGGTGGTGGTGGCAGGGTGTGCACCAACCATCATGATGGCACGGCAACACCGCATACACGCTGCCTGCACATTCCCGCTCATCCACTTTCCCACCACCAAGTGACTGCCAGTCATCATCGTATACCAAGCATTCATCGGGAAGTGTGGCTCTGGTTTGCTATAAAGGCACGCACTGAGCGCACAGGACTGCCCGGTAGGCAGAGATCGAATCATCAAGAGCAAAACAGGAGAAGCCAGTCGAGTCGAGCCGAGCATGCCTCCCAAAGGTGGTGGTGGAGGAGGAGGGGGAGGAGGGGGAGGAGCATACAAGTCGCACCATCATCACAAGTCCTCCAACCCGCGCGATACCGCTGCAGCGACAGCGAACAGTACGAGCGGGAGCGCGAGCAGCAAGTCGACTGCTATCGCAGCGACTCCTCAAGCACATCCGCAAGCGCAGGCTCAGACGCAAGCTCAAGCTCAAGCTCAAGCTGCACCTTCATCAGACCTCGCACCTCTACTAGGTCTCACACTTTCCCTCGTGCTCTATCCCAATGGTAATCCCGTCTCTTCGTCTCGAACAGATGCAAATCAAGCATGGCAGACGGCCGGATCGGGGCACAAGAAGGCATCTGTCAGAGGAGGAGGAGGAGGAGGAGGAGATGCGGCAATGTCGGAAGAGAAAGGCGAAACGGTGATTGGACAATTGTGGGCGTACGACGAGGCTTTGGGCGTAGTGGTTCTGCAGTGCGATGCCTCTGCTGGCGGTGTAGGAGGTGCGACGAGCAGCACGGGAACAAATATGGGCGCGGCATGCATCAATCCCACTGTGCTGGCTGCTGCTTCCAACGCTGCGTTGGGAGGTGCTTCGCCCAACACGAAGCCATCGACATCGTCGGCCATTTCGGATCCGAGCATCATCTCGGCTGGCAAGAATGTCCCTTCTTCCTCTTTCTCTTCCCCTGCTGCTGCTCCTGCTGCTGCTGCTGCTCCTGCCCCTGCTCTTCTCGCCCGCACCTCTTTCAGATTGCTCAAGACTCGAAGCATCAAATCCGTCTCGCTCGTGCAGACTTCGATCGGTGCGGCAGCTAGCGGAGCATCTCAATTGAGCGGCTTGAACAGCGTGAACTTGGCACAGGTGGAGAATAGGGAGAGGGTGGCTGCTTTGGATTCGAACAAGAGGTATAATAGGATCGGAAAGGGAGTGGGAAGAGAGGGTCAGATGGTCTTTGATGCGCTCGACAAGACGTGAGTCTTCTGTCTTTGTTTTTGCTTTTCCGATTGCGGCAGCCGGCGAGCGAGCGGAGCGGAGGGCGTGTAGGAGGAGAGAATAGCGTGGGGCAGGGAGCATATGCGGGCGCCGCTTTCGGCAGCAGTCGTCAGGGCGGGAGCGTGTGGTAGCGTGGGCAGAATGGCACAGTCGACCAGGGACGCCCGTTTGTCTTTGAAGCTTCGTCGTAGTCGCTCACTCCCGCGCACCTTTGCCCCTTCTCCGAAGTCTTCCATGTCGATGGCACCAAACACACATCATTGTCATGGATGACATTGTGATTGTGAGTTGCAGCATACTCTCGATTTGGAAGGGGATGGGCCAAAGCAAATTAGTCGACTTGTCTCACTGACCGGTTCTTCTCCGCTCATTTGCGGACCCTTTTTTTTTTTTTTTTTTTTT